ACTAATGGAGACAGAAGAGATTGCTAGCGCTAAGAGGAATTCAGTCAAGAAGCAGTTGGACAGGTTTCATAAACTGGTAAAACAGGTTTCTCATGGTCGTCATCTTGCATCATCAGTGAGTGAGCGTACTGATCCAGGTGAAGTTCTCAGTGTTAAGAAGCTAATCACCAATCAACTAGAGGAATGCATTGAAGAGTATAAGAAACTACCTCTAGAAATAGAAGACAAAGGAGCCATTTTAACGCTTGTAGATACGTCTACTTTAAATAAAGAGATCAATGAGTTTGGAAGTTTTTTGGAGTTTGATCAGCTTGAGCCATTACTTTATTCCATTGATAGTGGGTTAGCTATTCCACTGGCAACAGTAAAGAAAGAAAGGAAATTCAAAGTGGCTCTATCAGCAGGCATTGATAAAGCAGCAAGCTATTTGAAGGGTTCCTTTATCAAAAGTGATAGGAGGAAAAAGGAGGGTAGAGTTGTTATAGTTAATGATAACAAGACAGCCATTGTATCATGCACACCTCAAAGTATTGGTGGATATGAACTATCAGTTACTATAAGAGGTCACCATATTAAAGGTAGTCCTTATCAACTGTCAGTAAAAGCATCAAGAGACTATACCACACTAACTAACCAGAGATCCTTTAATGTGGGGAGCAGTACTTATGGTGTTGCTGTTCATACTAATGGTGAAGTATTTGCTAGTAGTTGGGATGGGTTTGTTCAGGTATTTAGTGAGGATGGTACTGCAGTAAGAAGGATTGGATCTAAAGGTAAGGGTAATGGAAAGTTTGGCAGGCCCTGGGGTTTATTGCTGGTAGGAGACAGGCTCTATGTGTCTGATTATAATCTTAATCGTGTGCAGTATTTCTCAGCTACTACTGGTCAGTATATTGGTCAGTTTGGTAGTAAAGGTAATGGGAATGGACAGTTCTCTAAACCTGAAGGTATGTCTACTGATGGTAAAGGCAATATATTAGTAGCTGATTACAGCAACAAAAGAGTACAAGTGTTTAAAGAAGATGGTACATTTGTACAAGTCATACAATGTGATGGTACTGCATCTGATGTAGCAGTTGATAATGAAGGAAAGATACACGTTACCATTTGTGGTCAAAATCATGTTCAAGTCTTCTCTCCTGATGGTAAAACTCATCTTGATACATACAATAATCCAGCTGGTAACTTTAATGACCTCAATGGTATTGCTATTGATGATGAAGGATATATCTTTGTATCAGCTTA